TTTATATTATTTTATCAGGGAAATAATTATGTAGTGAACTGTTATCTTAAAACTCATTTTCAGCATTACTGACTCAGCCATAATCTGGAGTTCATGGATGTTATATGGATGTAATTTCCACCACCAGTTTCTTTTGACCTCCTACCCAATTCCTTAATGATTATTTACTACTCTAGAATTGTTCCTCAAACAAGGAGCGTCATTTCCTGATGAGGTCAACATGACACTAACATCAGCACCACAAACAAAGTGACATCTGTCTCTTGGATTCTATATACCACTAGAAAAGTGCAAGATGTGATTGGTAGTGGAATACATACAGCAACTACAGCACATGTTCTGTAGTTGCTGAGATGGGAAGCATATTTCTCCTGCTCTCCTTTGTCACCCAATAGTGGATATACTTTCTCTGCACTTAACTCAGACTTGTATGTCGAGGCAGTCATTGACAAGTAAGAGGCACGGATATATATATTTTATTTGCTGATTTAAGTTGTAGATTATATTTCATTTACCGTATGTTTTATTTTTGTTCCTTTTTGTTGTCTTACAGAAGATATGCATACATCCGAACATCCGTAAATTTTACTACCAGCAACTACATCAACAAAATCGCTATCAAAGTGTTAAACGTTTTTTTATTTTTATTTTAATAACAGTGTATTAAATGTATGTGCTATTATTTTAACATAAGTCAATATCCATCGTAACCTCAACTGATGTCAAATCATTTTTGTAGTAATCAGACCGTAAGGACGGGTATCGCCCAACCAAATAAAAATAGATTGAAAATTATAAACTTTCTGTATTGTTTTTCCCTCATTGAAGGTAAAAAATATTTTTCCTTTTTCTTTCTTTTTTTTTTAATCAGAATTAATATTCCCTAGGGTCGAAATTTCTCCAGATTTAATGCCATAGTACCCCTGTCCATCAACATTGTATACAAAAACCATCGATGTGATATATTCCACACGGCAGCCAAGATTTTGCACGTCGCATGAGTGCCAACTTTATTGCTTAACAAACAGTTCTGCAGCTATGCCATCATTTATATTTGAATGATTTATTGTACATTCAGTGTGGCTGTTAATTTGGCCACTCTTGAATTCTATGTGAACTACTGGCAATAGGACAGTATTTGCTTTACATCTGTCTGCTGGAAAAATAATCTGACATGGTTTATGACCGAGTGTAGAGGATGCACGTCTGGTATGTTAAATACATATTATCTTAGGGAGATATTAACTTATTGTCGTTGTACTTGTAGTAGGAAGTCAGGTAGCTAGGCTTTCTGGCAGTGCATTTGGGGAACCGCAGAAATTTTATCAGACAAACTGAACTGAGCTTACAGGGCATGTGGTATTTTTAATTTAATTGTTGGGAGTTCAAAGTGAATTTAAAATTAATTTAACATTTTTTGGGGGAGGAAAATAGGCAGCTGGAAACATTTTCAGTTTGGCCACTTTTTGTCTAATGTGTCATCGGAGAACGCGGGATCAAATGAGCTATTAAATTTTATTAAAACTATAATCACTTTTATCGTGATTGGGGTTGCAAAAAAAAATTACAGCTATTAAAGGGTTTATTAACCCCAAGTGACATGAACTTTTGTGATGCTCGTCCGCAGAATAATATTAGCTGATAATATTAGTAGAATCTCAGTGCTACAATAAAACCCACAGAATAAGAGAAGGGTGTATTATTAAGGCTTTATTGTTTCAAATTCAAATAATGATTGTTGAAATAATAATAATTAATTAGCCACATAAATAATAATTAAAACTTTAGTCATGGGGTTGGTATAACCTAGTGGTGGTCAGCTGGAGACTTCCCATATCTGGATTGCAACACTTATCACTTCTATTCACCAATCAATTAAACAAATAGCAGAAAATGAAATAATTTTCCTTCTTTTGAAATATATTACCATGTACAGTTCAGTACCGTTTCATATATTTTTAACGTTCTAGCCCAGAACTCTAAAACAGATTTAAAATGTTCTTTCAGATTAGTCTAAAATGATTATTTAGTAAGTTTACTTACTATCCACATAGAGTAGTCTACATTAAAAAAATAGCCTTCTTCCAGTGCATATTAAAGGGACACTATGGTCACCAAAACAACTTTAGCTTAATGAAGCAGTTTTCGTGTATAGATCATGCTCCTGCAGTCTCAATGCTTAATTATCTGCCATTTAGGAGATAAATCACATTTGTTTCTGTTTACGCACCCCTAGTCACACCTCCCCTGGCTGTGATTGACACAGCCTGCATGAAAGTAAAATGGCTTAATTTTCAATTGGATACTAACTTACTTTAAAAGTTTGTATCTCCTGCTCTGTAAATTGAACATTAATTACATATAGAAGGCTCCTGTAGGGACTATCAACCTATTAACTGAGCAGGAGATAATACATTCTAACTTAAAGAAATTTTGCAATAAAGAAAGTGTTAATATTAGATGACTCTTCACAGGAAGTGTTTAGGAAGGTTGTGAAGTCACATGCAGGGAGGAGTGACTAGGCTGCATAAAGACAGTGATTTAACTCCTAAATGGTAGATGATTGAGCAGTGAAACTGCAGGGGCATGATCTATACACCAAAACTGTTTCATTGAGTGCTGCACAACATGCATAGAGATGCTGAACTTTCCTTGAGTCAATGCATCTCTATGATAATATACTGATGGGGGTGTAGCGTGGGTGGGTCCAGTGCAACTGGATCCACGCGGCACTGGAAATAGGTTAGTAAAATAACCGTTTTAACCGGATGTAAGGTGGGACTAAATGGCTATTTAGACCTCTAGTGTAAGGAATACATGTCTGTATTCCTGACACTATAGTGTTTGTTTAAGGGACAGTTTTTCAATTTAATCATAACCAAGAAAGGTGATTGAAGACTGTTCTATAAGGCAGAGAGAGACCACCCATTTACGTAGGTACTGCTTGCAATATTCTTGGCAGCATTCAGTTCCTGAACCTCTCATCAATCCGAGACTCCATTGTAACTTAGTGCATACTTCATGACATTGGGAGGTATGAATGAAGGACAAGGGTTGTCCCAAGCCAAGAGGGGGCATGGTGATTACATGCCAATTGCCATGACTGCCCAGGACAGGGACAAATGGGGGTAAATCATTCAGGTCAGCGATTGCAGTGAGCATTGTTGAAGTACTTTTCCGTGGCCTAAATGCCCTGAGTTTAGGTTGCCCAGACTAGAGTGTCTTAGTGATGAGCT